TTTTTTTTTATGTGCAACTTTTGCCATTTTAATCCGCTCAACATTATGTGCAACTTTCTTTTTTCTTTCTATTTTTAGTAAAAAAAAAACTAGTCAAATGTCAATTTTACCCTTATTTAAAAAATTAAGACACAATTTATTAACTATAATCGGATTTTATTACTCACTAATTCTTACCCAATTTTCATCCCAACCACCCCAATCTAATTCATCAACTCTTCATCTTCAATTCAAGAAACCCAAAACCATACTCATTCATCTTCATCTTCCCTCATATTTTCTCTCTCCTCTTTCAAAATCATCTTCATTCATCTTCATCTTCCCCCATATTTTCTCTCTCCTCTCTCATCCTCATCTTACCCCATTGATCTTCTTTCTCTCTCTTCAACTTCAACCGGCGGTTTTGTGGGTTTTCATGAGGATGGTGGTGGGTTGGTGGGGTTGGTAGTGGTGGTACTGGTAGTGGTGAAGGGCCCGCGTTGAAGGCGGCGGTGGTGTTGGTGAAGGCGGTGTGGGTCGTGGTTTTGGGTTCGAGTTAGGGGTTTAGTTTCCGGTGGGTTGGTTTTCGTGGGTTGTCGTTTTCGGTGGGTTGGTTTTCGTGGTTCCGTTGATGGGTTTTGGTGGGTGGCCGTGGATTTGGGTTTTGGTGGGTGGTCGTGGATCTGGGTTCTGGTGGGTGGGTTTTGGTGGTTCCGTCGGTGGGTTTTGGTGGGTGGTCGTTGTTCTGGGTTTTGGTGTGTGTTCGTGGAGGTGGTGGTTCTGGCGGTAGGTTTCGGTGGGTTTTCGTGAGGGTGGGGTTGGTTTCGTGGGGTTGGTTGTGGTGGTGGTTTCGTGGGGGTGGTAGTGGAGGTGGTGAAGTAGACGGTGGTGTTGGTGAAGGCGGCGGTGGTGTTGGCTGGTCTTGGTGGTGGCAGTGGGTGGTTGATTAATTATCCAAACATTCTCTCTCCACCTTAATTACATACCCTTATAATACATTAATCAACATTATCAAGTTTTGCCTTGTGAACCGTAAAGCAGGGCGACTTATACCTCCAGATACAAAGCAACTAGTAGCATCGTCTCTAGTTCTTTTACCACTACCGCTGCTCTCTTCAACTTCTTTTTTCGCCTTGTGTTCAGCATCAACTTTCTTCCTTATTCAGACCCCACCTCATGAACTTTCTCCACTTTGGATATTCGTTCACCTTTCCCCACGTATATTGAAATTTAAAATTCCTTGGTGAATTTTGACAAGACCTTCGAAACAATTCATGGGCATTTTTTACCACATCACTATCATTGTATCCACTTCCCGTTATTTTACCATCTTCTTCCATAACACTTGCCCAGATAAGTAGGTCGGCAGCCATCCTCCTCTAATGAGTCTCCAACATATTCTTGTTCCGCTCTGGAATCTCGTGTGGTTGAGATAGATGAGCCGCATGATATTCTCGATGTATATCTCTCTAAAGGTCAGCAAATTTTCTATCTTTGCCAATAATTGCGTCTGTGCAATTGTGAAGTAAGCCTCAATTTTGAGCTTCTTCTTCTTTAACAGACCAATCACGGGTGTTTGTTGCAACTGGAATTGGCTTATTTCGCTCTGGGAATACTGTGGTGTCTCTGAAACGGTTTCTTCTTCATCACTAATGAATTGACTATTACTTCCTTGATAGACTTGTGGAGATTGGTTGTAATTTCGGTGAGTTGGTGGAGTCGTTTTTTATGGAGGAGGTTGTTGTGGAGGAATATTTGGAAAATTTCAGAAAATTGTGGATGATTCATAAGTGATGAAGGATCAAAGTCGTTCACATTTTGTGAACGATTGAGATTATTAGGATCCATTTTTACTTTTTTAAAAGGGAACAAAATAACACAAAAATTTAGGGGATAAAATTTAATTAAACACTTGAATGATACAGTTAAGGATCGGAATTCAAAGAGTAAAAAACGATATTTTCATCTGTATCAAAATATGGAAAAATGGATGTCTACTTATAGAGATTTTTTTTTTCCGTTGGTAATTTTTCTTTTTTTTGAAAAAAAAAAATTACTGTGTACAAAATAGCCGTTTTACACTAAAACAGTAACATTTTTGCTGTTAGAATAAAGCTCTTCCAAAAAATGACACGTGTAAGAAGATCATTGGCTAATATTTAATCTCACCACAACTTTTGCAATTTTACTGTTGAATAATTATTGTATGTTTATTTTTTTTGATGGACCCCACACGAAATTAATCAAAAAAAAAAGAAAAAAGGACCAAAACCTGCGCGCTACCCTACCAATAGTCAGCCCATAGGAGTAAGATGAAAGTTGAGAAAATATTCTCCAAGAGAAAAAATTCCCAATTTTTTTTGAGAAATTTCGTTGGTGGGGTACTTTTTTGGGGGAAAAAAAAAGTTCTAGTAGAGAAATTTTTCTTTGTTGTAAGTGCTCTAACATGACAATTTTCTATTTCCTAAAAAATGTAGGAATTTATTCACCTACTCTTCCTAGGTATGTAGAACTTCTCATTGGAAATAGCATTTCTTTGCAAGCCAAACAATTCTTGACATTTCCTAGTAGTGATTATGGATATTGAAAATTCTTAGGAAGAAATATTTCCTACATTCTACCAAACAAGTTCTAAAATTATACTCGTCTCTTGTTTACACCATTTGTATTTTTTGTTTTTTCCACAAAAAACATGTTTGATCATTATACTCCCTTTTTTTTTCTTAAAAAAAAATGCATCATTTGTATTTACACAAAGTTTTGAAAGATTTTATCTGCTCATGTTTAATATTGTGCAAGAGACAAGTGAATGATTGATTTAATAAAAGTATAAGAGGGAACCCCAATTTATCATTTTGATAAACAAATTCGCATATCAAGTGGCAAAATCATAAATAAATCAACTTAATCACTTTTAAAGGTTGAGATTAACAACCGATATTACTTTTAAGATAACTGGGGATTTCAACGCGCGCGATGCACGCGGTATAGCTAGCCCTTTGAAAAGAATTATTATTGATGTTCTTTATGTCCTATGTCTGTTTGTATAATATTTTATTAAAACTATTTGCATATATAGACGATAAATGTGTTGGATGTGGTGTAGTTGTGCAATATTCTAAACATGAGTTGAACAAATTTAATTTACTGGTTAAAAGGTAAAAAGATATTGAGTTCAATGTAGAAATACAAATGTCTAATAAGTTCTAAATAGGAAAATTATAATAAAAAGAAATATAGAGTAAAAGATGAATTTTAAATATTAAAATATGTTTATCTTAAAAAATCTATCCAAAATTCGCTTACTTAGCATCTATGTGTCACAATTATATCTATTTGTCGCTTACGTGGTGCGACACTTGGCGAATAACTAAAATGCCAAGTGTCGTTGTCTAGTGGTCTGGTTGCGAGACTGACTTTATATTATGTATAGTTTTGTGCTTGGGCGATGCCCGGATTGTCCTAAACTTTTTAGCTTGAATGTTAAATACAATCATCTAACCCCTTTTGATAATGTAAAATATTTAGACATACGATAACATATCGCTTATTTATATAATAGTGTACTTTTTGTAGTTTTACTTGTAAATAGATTTTTATGTTATTATTAACTTAATATATTTTCTTGCACTTAAATTATTCCTATTGAATTGAAAGTATTTTTACCTAACTAAAATCATTTTTTCTGATTAAAACTTATTTTTACTGATTTTCAATTTTTTATTAAAATATATTATAATTGGATCTCATTTTAAAGAACTTTTTAAAACGAATTTTATGATGGAAATAGTACTGAGTTATAAGATATTTATTAAAAATTATGATTAATTTTGTATATATGATATATTAGAAGTATATCGATAATAAAACACTATACAACATTTTTATCTTAAAATTTTTTATCCAAAATTCGCTTATTTAGCATCCTATGTGTCACAATAATACCTATTTGTCGCCTACGTGGCTCGACACTTGGCGAAAAACTGAAATGCCAAGTGTTGATGTCTCGTAGCCTAGCCGCAAGACCGGCTTTATATATTAGTGACTAGTTTTGTACCCCGATGCCCAGGTTGTTTATTCAATTTTAGGATAAACCTTTTTGCTTGAATGTTAAATACGGCCATATAATCCGCTTTGATAATGCATGATATTTAGACATCGATATCATACTTAAATTATTTTTATTAAACTGAAAGTATTTTTACCAAACTAAAATTATTTTTATGGATTAAAACTTATTTTTACTAATTCTCTATTATTTTTTTAAATAAAAAATAATATAATATAAATGGATCTTGTTTGAAAGAACTTTTTAGAATTTTATGATGGATATAAACCGAGTTATACGATATTTATTAAAAGTTAGGATTGATTTTTTATATACGAAATATTAGAAGTATATCGATAATAAAACTCTATACAACATTTTTAACTTAAAAATCTATCTAAAATCCGCTTCCTTAGCATCAAATGCATGTGCCACAATAGTACCTATATATCTCCTACGTGACACGACACTTGACGAAAAACTGGAATGCCAAGTGTCGGTGTCTCGCGGCCTGGCTGCGAGACCGACTTTATTTATTAGTGATATGATATGATGTGATATGATAGTGATATGATTTAGGCAATTCAAGAGACAATTATAAGGCTTTTGAAATCAAATCAGGGCAAATATGTAAAAGAACATTTTTAGGAATATAAATATCCATAAGAGTTTTCTTAAACTTTTTATAAGGTAGGGATAATTAATGCTCCGTAATTTTTTTAGGGTAATACTTCCTCCGTTTCTTTTTTACCGACACATTTTTTTTAGTTGCGTTTGCCAATGCACAAATTCAATCATTAATATCTTTCATTACCAATAAGCAAAATTCATAAGAAGTTGATATTACGAATCTAATAAATTCTCAGACTATTTTTTCATTACATATAAATCACAAAACACAGTTAAAGAAAAATGTGTGAATTGTGCTAAAGTTAAAACGTGTAACTAAAAAAAGTTCGGAGGTAGAAAACAAATATTTTGAGCTTGCCCAATAAAGTTTATATCTGTGACAAATAAAAACGTTTATCTCATTGTGAGTTTGTGACAGCTCACCCTATTTCTCTCTCCTCTAGCAACTCCAGGCCACCACCACCAAACCAAAATATTTCCTTCTCTTTCCTCTCCTCCCAAGGTCATGCCGATCAACCCATCTATATTTGCTGCTTCATAACGGTAAATCGACCGGCCGAACAAAAGACACTCTAGTAAAATTGAGCCCTTACTAACTCCTTAGGGAAAGGCTTTTGCTAACCCCAAAAACATTTCTGGTCAAAAATCTCAAAAGAGGTGGTAATTGTTTCCGTAATTAGGTTTGAGCGATGTAGGTGGGGTAGTGTAGTTAGAGCGGCTGGGTGGTGCTAGTGGTCGTGTAGTTGGAGCAGCAGGGCAGTGCTAGTGGTCGTGCATGTAGTGGGGAGGAATTTTGGTTTGGTGGTGCTAGCGGACATCTACAGTATTGAATTGTTGATGGTGGTGGAATATCTAGAGGACAGAGAAAGAGGTGGCTCTAATATAGCAAAACGTGTAAAAATCCAAAATTCTTTCTACTGTTCATAAATAAAAAGTCAAAAATACCCATCTATTTATCTCGGTTATAAACTTGGATTTTTCTCTCGTTTTTTTTGTAGAGTAGTACTCTTGGGAGTTGGGACAATTTCCGACCATACGTAGTAGACCACTGTAGTACTTGTTTCATCACCAGATTCCCATCCTTCCCGCCATTGCTAAAGCTGAATTCCAAATTCCAAATTCCAAATTCCAGCCAAATGACTTCAATTTCTCTCTCTATCATCCCATTCACAACAATAAACAGATTAACCTCTATTCCCTTCTTAAATCCCCCGAAATTCCCGCTTAATTGTTCATTAAATTACCCTTCAAAACCCCAATTTCAATTAGGGTTTCGGGTGAAAATTTCTCGATTTTCTCGAAATTCTTCCATAAATGGAGCAGACCCACTTGGCTCAGTTGAGGTTCTTAGGGTTCCTGATCATTGGTTGGAACCTTCCAGAGCTATTCAGGTAATTCTTATCACCTCAAATTCTAATTATTTGTGTATTTTATTTTAATTATTACGTTTTAATCCTGTTTATATGACTGTATATAATTGTCCTTGTTTAATTTCTTGAAAATTAATGTTGAAATCATAATTATTAATTGTTGATAGAATTTTTCGGAAATGAAACTTTGCATTCCTGAATTGTTTGTTGATTGTAATGACGTAAGATGCAAAATGAGTAATTATGTATTGCGCATTTTTGAGGTTTTTTTTTATTCTTATTGGTAATTTGGATCAAAATTACTTGCTTTACTTTAGCTGGGTTTTAATTGTCATTGATGAATTTAAGTTTTGGTCATTCAATTAGTTGTGCGTTTGTGCTTGATATAAAGGTGAAGTACCTTACGTCGTTCTTACTGTAGAAGTTATGAGTTTGAATGTATCCTTTGATTTATTTCCATATAAGAATGAATGGGACCGAGTGAGGTTCATTTTGCTTCTAACACTTGATAACATCCTAGGATTGCAATATCATCTTTTGATATCTTGTTAATATGTACCATTTTCCACATTTATGATGTCTTATAGTATTAGGGGAAAAGGCTACACATACAATCATTATATGTGGAATCCACATACAACGTGATATGACAGTTTTCCATTGGAGGATAAATTGGGCCCCTAAATTCACTAAGTTTGAAATTTCATTTAAATTCAAATGAATTTTCAAACTAATCTAATATTTGAAATTTAAAATATTTGTCATTTCCAATGACACATTATATTTCTGAAATTATTTAAAAAAAAAAAAAAAATTTCGATTCCAAACAGCTTGTCGGAATTTCTTCATCAAATGAACGAGTGTAATGGCAACTAATCTTTTTTCTGGCTGTTTCATGGCACTTTGGGATGTTTGTAATATTAATATATTAGTCTTTATTTTGCTTTCTACTGTGGGTATTAGTGGCTGCTCTAAGCATGTCAACCATTTAGTTTTGGATGTGAATTTGCTCCTACCATGCTCTTTTGCTTAAACTTCGAACTTGATATGGCTGTATAATTAATTAAGTCCTTCTATGACTATCTATGTTGACTATGTATTTCCTATTTCCTATTTGTGTTTTTTTTTAAAAAAAAAACACTCACCATGAACAGCAAATATGCAAAACTGATGGCCATGAAAGATGAAATTTTTTTGTTTATTAAAACTTTCCATCCTATTGTCGTCGGTTTGTTTGTTCATTTTTCCAAGGAAGGTTAATGGTGCACTTTTGTCTTCGAACCTTGAATTTACATCACCACTTAAATTATTCGATTTTATTGGATTAATTTATTGTTGTGTAGCTAACAATATCAAGAGTTGACGAGTTCAGCAATCTCCTTTAGATTTTTTTATTATATGGTGTTCAAATACTTTAATTCCAATTAACATATGAATCGTTGTTTTATTATTTACATAATATATTGTGTAACATATTTTCTGGTTTAATTGAGTTATTCTTCATCCTATATAGTCTTCAACTATTGAAATGGGTCTTCTTACCATATTCCAATGAACTATTGAAATATATCTTCGTGTTCTTCAATTTCCCCCGTTCTCTATTGAATTTGGATTTTTTTTAACTATAATAATTATTAAAGGCACAGAAGTATCCAAAGGCACGAAATTTGATTTACAAAAGAAATTGGAGATTTGTAGAACCTCGGTTGAAAATGGTGTATTAAGGTCGTCTATAATGGCAGAAACCCCAATAATTTCAAAAACAAGTAGTAACACGAAGCACTAAATTTTGGTAAGCACAAGCACTAAATTGTACACTATCAATATTATTTACAATTTAGTAACACAAGCACTAAATTGTAAACAATATCAATAATTGCACTAAATTGTAAATTATTTAGTAACACAAGCACAAAATTTCGGTAAGCACATATATTAATATTATTTTTGCAATTATTAACATGGTGTTTATTCTGCAATCTTAGTTACTTACGATGAATATAAAATTGCAGTGATGTTATATTAATCCGAGTTCGATCCCTCTTAAGTGCATAATTTTCCCTTTTTTCAAAATTTTTCCCACTATCCTTTTTTTATTTTTTTTATTTTTTATTTTTTTTTTAAATGCTTACAATAAGTTTAGTAACGACAACAACAAATATTGTATCTAAAATGTTGTGATAAATAATTTATATTTTATAAATGCAGTTTTCTAGTAACAAAATTAACAAAAAATAAATTGTAAACAACTATTTAGCAATAAATTGATTATTTCAATATGAGTATCAATTAGTTCAATTTAATTATTCATTACAATTTTAACTATCCATTACAATTGTAATGGGTAACAAACATATATCTTTAGTGTTTAAAGCGACATTAAATATGTGTATGTAGTGGTTTTTGCTTAAATTAGTGTCATGTCTTAAGAGAAGTAGGCGGCAAATGTATAGAGATTTTGATCAATGATGTGAAATAGACATAATCATTGGAAACTAATTAGAAATGAAGTTGAATAGCTAAAGTTAGTAGTTTCACACAATAGTAAGCATCGAATTAGATCACGATCAAATTTCATTTAAAATTACAAAATTCAGACAAATGTTACAAATAATTATACTGTCTTTTAATATTTCACAATACTAGTTTGACAAAAAAGTTTTTCGAGTGCAAAATAAAATATCATGAATACAAAAAAATAAGTAATTAAAGTTAGGTTATTTTCCTCAAATAAAAGTAACAAATTGAGTAATGAACGAAATTGGTCTTTAATTTTAACACCTATGAATAAGATCAAATTATGTCGATATAAAATAATATATTAAATTTGCAAAGTATTAAAATTGTAACTCCCCCATAATGTGGCATTTTAGTATGTTTGCGTGTTTTCTAGTAATTGAACCATATTGATTTGTAACTACTTTTATTAATACATCACAAAAGGCCGATACAATAAATTTGCAAAATGTTACACGGTGAATCTCGCAATATTTGTTTGTAATTCTGCAATTTTGGTTAACAATGATGAAAATAAAAATACAATAAATCGTACATGGTTTCAAGTTCAATCCCTTCCTTAGCTTAAGCATATAATTTAGCCTAGGTCCAATCCCATGTGATTTATTGTGACAAATTTGTACATACTTTACAATTTCAAAAATGTTTGGCGAAATGTTCGAACACAATATTTAACAAAAGCACAGCTTTGTTTACAATTAAAGCTGGATATTCACTGGGTGAAGAGTTTTCCACTGCTGTAAGCGCTCTTTTTTTTTTTTCCCAAATAACCGTTAAATAACTTCCACTTCTCAAAAAAAAAAAAAAAATCTTTTCTATAACTTCCACTTATACTATTTTCTTTCTAAATATACATACTACATATAATCATATGCATGTATATCCCGTGCGTTAGCACGTATACACTCTAGTAAATATAATTAAACGAATTAATTAAGAATGTTTCTTTATTGATTTTACTAGCCATTTGTTACTAAAGAAAATGTTACTGTTACTAAAAAAAATAACAAACATTGGATGAGACAAGGATGTCGCAAGAACTACATATCATGACATGTATATTAGATATAATTGTTGACATATGATTTATTAATCAAGTTCTACGGGAGTTTAGAATTTCGTCAAAAGCTAAAGAAATGAAAAAAATGACATGATTATTTATATATACAGAAATATTTTAACTTTTTTTTTTTTTTTTTACAATAACCGAACCAGAGAGCTTTGTTTGACAAAGCAGTGAGGACCATCCTCCATCCAGATCAAATCCTCCCCAAAAGATAAAGCTACTTTGGCCATAAAATGGGCCACTTTATTACAAGTTCTATGAGCAAAATAAAAGCAACATTAATTAAAAGTCATAGCTAAGGCTAGAATGTCATTCACGACCACTTAAGTAGCAGAGCAGTCAATAGATTTTGCTTGTAGAAGGTCAACAAAGTTCCACGATTAGAGTACGGAGACCAGCCTCAAAAGCGTACTTAAGCCTAAACAAGACTGCTGATCTCAAATTTTTTAACTAAATCTATATTTTGTACATGAATTTTGATCCTAATCTGAAAACCTAGATACATGGTGGATGAAAGCAAAATTAAATAAAATTAAAAACTGAATCGAGCATGGTTGATTGTTGAACAAAATTGATTTTCTTTAACTTGGGTTGAACAAGCTTGCGAATTCAAGTATTTTGATACTTAATCGGAAAATTCGCCGGTGTTAGTGGATTTTGTCATCTTCTCCAGCAATTTTTTTTAACTGTAAAAATGTTGGGGAGGGAAGAAAAATGCTGGAATATTATCCTATATTCATGAGTTAAATTTTCAGGAAAAAAAAAAACATTATTGTAGTTAATGCACATGGCGCCAACAATTTCACCCAACAAGATTCCCACTCACGTTGAGATATGGCGCCATAGTGGGTGAATAATTTCCCCCCAATTTTTCCCTCTTATTTTTTTTGGACACTGTCGATGTGGCGAATTTTTATTGCTGTTGTATGTTGGGACCACATACAACAATTGTATGTGTATCAGCTCCCTAATATTAGGTAGTATAGATACTCGATTGCATTTAGTGTCTCCTCTTTTTGCGTGCCCTAAACCTTTACTTGCCATTCATTTAATAGTGGGATCAGTTAAGGTAAGAAGAGATGGGATACATGATAGGATACTAGATGTGACAAAGGATCCATATTTTGTATATCTAGTTGTCTTTTTTTATTGGAAAATTTAACATGAATAATCCAACCTTTCGCTACTTCACTATTTATCCCAAAATAATCCAACCTTTTGATTAACCCTAAATAATCCCACCTTTGATATGTATTCTCTCATACCGAGCCTAAGTGATCGGTTATTCGAAGATCATGTAATTTTATTTTTTTTTCCTTTTTTTTTTAAAAAAAAGACCACCAGGTTTTTCTCTCTCTTCCTCCATGACCACCTCTCCTCCCCCTCCATGAACACCTTTCTTCCTCCTTCCTCCATCACCACGAACCACAATCACCACCTCGAAATCGGCCGAAATCCCGACACACCTAGATTTTTGTCCTGACAGCCACCTCCTTCATCCTTCCTCCATCATCATGAACCACAATCACCACCACGAAGGGTGAGAGAAGGAAAATGGGGAAAGGGAGGTTTTGGAAGTGGAGGCAGGAGGGGGTGTTGCTATGGGTTTTGGTGATGGTGGATCAACGGTGGGGCTGTGGCGGTATGGATAATGGTGGATTGACGATAGGGTTGATGGTGGGAAGCTAAGGGTGGGGTTTCTGATTTATTTATTTTTTTCATTTTTTTCGGTTTTTTATTATTATTATTTTTTTATTCTTTTTCATTTTTTGGGATTTTTTTTTTTATAAAAATTAAGTTTTAAATTAAAAAAAAAAACAATAAGAAGCTGACACATGGCTTGGCAACCAATCATAGGGGGTATGTGACCTGCAGGGGGCGGTGTGGGAGAATAATAGGTAAAGGTGGGATTGTTCAGGGTTAATCTAAAGGTTAGATTATTTTGGCAGAACTAGCTAACGGTTGGATTATTCATGCTAAATTTTCCTTTTTTATTTTGTAGACTTATAGTTCAGTCATTGACAGAGTGACAGGATAGCAGTAATTTTCGAATGATCTCCGTAGTTTGGTTACTGAACCCATTAGAAGTCAGGACTTTTCCTCAAGTTTGTTAGCTTACTTGAGAGGCTTTCTTTTGTCTATAAGAAGTGATTTGGGCTTTCGCTTTTCACACCTATGCATTGTGTGAAAAGGTGGATCTGTCTTTGTGGATGAAAAGTTCATAAAATGCAGAGAGGGGGTTATGTAAAGGACTCTAGAAAGACCTCTGTCCTCCTTGTGGAGGGAAGGGAGGTGGTGGTGATGCTATGTTAAGGGGGTGAGAGAGACAAAAAGATTGTTTTCGACCCAATTCTTCACTTGATAGCTGGAGGAAAGACATAGGACTATAGGAGAAAAAGGCAACTAGTAAATTGTCTACAGATAGAGTATGCATGGGGTGTTGGCCTTTCCAGTTTTTATTCTGCTCTGAACAGCTTGGCACTAGGTTTATACATATAGGTAATGGTAATGATTTTGCTTGTGCCTCTTACAATGATTTCCCTCAGGTGATAATGAGTCCGGATAGAACCAAAGAAGAAAAGGTGAAATACACATAGTATGGACTGCAAATGCATTTTTATGAAGGTCCATGGGACATACGTACAGTACCACACACAGACTCATTGCTATAACCTCTATAATCTGCATCCAGAGTTCATTCCAATTTAAAAATTTTCTTGCACTGCTGTATATTTGGAATTTTGGATTAGATAGTAAGGTGAAAATGTATCTGATTGTTGCTAATACTTTGCCTGTGTTTGTTGTTCATTTCCTATTGTCTATTCTTTAATAAACTTGGCTACATACGCTGTATTTTAGCTGAACATTGCAACTAAATTCATTTTATCTCTCTACTTTTTTTTCAATTCTCTTGACCTTATCACTTCAACAATCTGATTCATAGCGTCCTTTAACTTACCAGTGTTTTTCCCTCCTTTAAAATACTATGTGTCGTGTTCATCTTTGTTTTAATCCTGAAGTTTGCTTTCATTTTTTTTCAGGAATCAGAGTGGCTTAGAGTGTCACTCCATAAGTGGTTAGATGATGAATATTGTCCTGAACCAACTAATGTTGACATCAGTAGAGTGGCTGCTAACTCTTATTACCAGTCATTATTGCAGAAGACTACTGATCTGGGTGAAATTTTGTTGAAAATGGTCCGAGAACTTGAATCTATTTCCTACCAGGAAAGCTTTCATGGAGCTTTCTCTTCTGCCAATGCTGCTGTTAATCTAATTGCTGAGAGGATAGATAATGTTTAGCTTCTTCTCTTCCTTATTATGTCTTTATTGCTGCCTGTCCATCTCCACCCTTGTCTCCTCCTTGTGTGGATATTGAAGGAAAGAGAAATAGCGGAAAGAGGTTGCTGCAGTTCTTAATTGTCCATATGTTGATAATCTGTAAAGATATGTCACACAGGTGTAACTAATGGATGCGCTTTTTCCAACTTATATCTGTTTATTCTCGTTTGCTCATGGATGCTCAGATCTTGAATCAACGTATTTTTAGGAGACTGCAATGGCATTCAGCTTAACTTTCAAAAGGTGTGGATGTAGAGGTTGCAAACCTTGCGATCATAGGTAAACGGGAACTACAGTATGTAATAAATCTGTTTCATGAAGATGAATTTATGATTCCCTTACACTATCATAGATCTATTTACATGAGGAGCCGAGAAGATGTTATAGGCTATTTTGTATTTAATCAAGAAGTAAGTGTTTATAATAAAATTTGTTAAATTAACTAATAATGTCAATATGACCTTGAACAAGTACCAAACTGAGTCTTGAATGAATTTGAATACACCCAAACGAATATGAACAAGAAGTTAATGAACATGAACAGTAGAACAAAAAAAAAATTCAAGCAAGTTTGTATATTAACTTTTCGTTGAACTTGTTCATGAAATTGTCAACTTACTGACATCATTAGATGTGAACATAAGTATATAACAACATATAAACCTTAAAAAAAACAACTTATAAAACCGAAATAAGCTACTCTTCCATAGATGCATTTTAATACCTTGTCAAGAAATAAAGCACAAACAAATTAAAACAATATTAAGGTTTATAAACTATTTATTATCTGTAATTTAACACAACTGGGCATTTGGTCTAGTGGTATGATTCTCGCTTTGGGTGCGAGAGGTCCCGAGTTCGATTCTCGGAATGCCCCTCTTTTTAAAAAAAATAAAAATAAATTACAATTCGTATATTATTAGGGTAGTGGAGGTGGATGGATGTAGGGAAAAGGCCTTGTTTTTTGTTATTGAACTTTTGACACTTCATCTTGTGTTGGAATATGCAAGTTTTTAATGGAAGTGCAACCTCCATCGACGACTAGATTATGTGCGTTTACGTACTTTGCCTCATCTGATGCCAAGTACAAAGCTGCATTGGCAACATCGATTTCTTCACAGTTTGCTCCCTTTAGCTCACCAGCACCATGCACCATTTTCACTATCACTTCATCTTCAACCCCAGAAAACCGCATCCTCAACTCATCCATAACAAAAGGAGTAGGAATTGCATAGGGCGATATGCAGTTTATCCGAATCCCATGCTTGCTCAACTCTGCTGACACAGACTTTACCATGCCTATTACTGCAGATTTTGAAATAGAATAGGATGGTTGAGCCATCCCACCCATCATCCCAGTAACACTTGCAGTGCACAAAATGCACCCCTTTTGACGAGGAATCATCACTCGTGATGCATGCTTTATTCCTGCTAATGCACCTCTCACATTGATTGACATTACACGGTCAAAGACATCAAGGTCAAGGTCTGTAATGGAAGGCGGCGATCTGCAAGCAATCCCTACATTTGGGCAACAAAATGAGGTTAGATTACTATAGAATGGAAATCAGTGAGTTTGTATTGTAACATTAGCTATCATATTCTGTAAAGTTAGCTACATTACAGAAAGGAATTAGAATTGTATTAAGTTTACGAGACATCTTTCTTTTCTATGCCTAAACTACAACATTCTGGTAATCCAAAAGTGGGTTGGTCTAAATTGGTATTGCATCAATTCAACTACTTTAGATTGTGATATTTTTACATGTTCACTATTAGTATATAACTGTAGTACATGTACATATAAAGACGGCTGATCTTTTAAAGTAAAGCGAATAAAATCAGTTCAGTCCAGAAACAAAACCCACCTGCATTATTATACATGATATCAAGTTGACCATATCTGGAAACAGAGAAATCAACGGCACCAGAGATATCAGATTCTTTCGTGACATCACAAGAAACAAACGAAGCACTTGAACCTAATTCCTTTGCCAGGGCTTGGCCTTGTTCGTGTTGAATATCAGCAATCACAACCTTGGCCCCGTTTTCAGCAAATCTTATTGCTGCTGCCTTGCCTATCCCACTAGCCGCTCCAGTGATCAGAGCGACTTTTCCTTCCAGTCTAGATTTTTAAAAAAATCGGCAGTAAGAGTTAGATACAGAATATAACATATCAAATATATTTAGAGCGACACATAGGCCGACAAGGGAAACAGAGAAGTCAACGTAAACATGAAAGTAATTCGAAATTCTTATCAGTAGAGAAGCTGATTCCGAAATGCTAGCAGGAAACTGTTTTTCAGAAAAATTTCACATGTAAACTTCTTGACTTGAAGCAAAAAAACGTGAAAAACAGTCTAGTTTACATGTAGATTCATTGGATAGAACAATCTATTTTTTTAAAAAGGCAAAAAGGCACTCAAAGGCTACCTTTTTGCATAACATCTAGCATAAATTTATATGTTCCCACTGATTAATATAGGTAGATTACAACAGTAAAAGAGATTGTCGGCTTGCTAATGCATAATTAAGAAAGAAAGCCAAATCAAGGTTCCCATCTTCACCCATGAACGCGGAACAAAAGTATTGGTTAATACAAGTCGAGTCATCAGACTACTTTAGTGATCACTTGACATACAACTTAATGGGATGCAGGAATAAAATATGCTTGTGGAATGAGAACACAAAGGATAAACGCGTATCTCTGTAAGATCCAATCAAGTTTTAAATCAAATCTTTAAATAGTTTCTAATCCAAAATCTGACCAACCAGATTACAATATTTATGCTTATAGACTTCAGAGTATAAACAATTAAACAGACTCTAGGTGTAAGTACATGCTCAGATGTAGTCCAATTGACTCAAAGTAGGTAATATTGTTGTTTGACTGGTAAGCAAGGAAACACAAGCATTTATCGAGATGTTAAACTTCACACACGTCAAAAAAAACTAATACGATTAATGGACAATTCTCTAATAGCTTGGCCTTAATCTTCGAGACTCAGAAAATGTAACATCTTGACCTTTATTTTAGGTCTACTAAACTATATATCAAATCTTAAAATATTACAGTAAACTGGTGCACTAGCTCACTATTAGATGAATCGAGAACAGAAACCAGAGCTTAAGTGATTCACCGAAGCAACAAGACCTTAAAGATGCTTTTTCGAGGCTCTTAAAGATATCATGTAGATTAGGAACTTTTAAAAAACAGTATTAAAACTCGTCTTCCCTTTCAACAACAGACATGAGTATTGTTGAAAGATACATGAGAACTAATTAATTCATTTACCAAGAAAGTGTGACAAACATGTACACAGATTATTTCCATCAATAGACACAAACGAATCTTATAGCAACCATCAAAAGTAATCAACTTTTCGCTTAACAACAAAAAGTATACCATCTTGGAACCAAAGCCACAATCTAGCACAATCTACAGCACCTATTATTCAAGGATTTCTTGGTATAAAGTAGATAGGTCGGGTAACGTCTTTATTGATGCAATTCAACTGAGAAACACTATTAAACTCAGTAGCAACGTGGCGATGTCAGAGTTAACATAGCCGTGCATTAGGCCCAACAGCTAGGTAGAATATTGCTTAATGTAATATTGTTGAAACCATGCCGACATGAAGCATTTTAATTTTAATTAAAACGTGTTTAGATCATATGTATTTTTACTAGTTCAGCATTTAGATTTTTAGATTCAATTGCATTTCTTACCTTGTGCTACACTACAAAATGTAGATGGTCCATCTACCCTTCATAAAAAAAGGAACTTCAATACTGTTTTTTCGCAACAAAATCTTAATACAGCCCGACAAAAGTATAATTTTTTTTGAACTATAACATGTACTGGTTGTCTGGTTGACAGCACGAAACATAACTCTTTCGAATAATAGACCTTCCATTATATTCCATTTTACATTACACAAAATGAAACGTGGGATATGTGGTTGAGAACTGTTATTTTCATACAGTTTGGATATATGGAAAAGCAAGATCTATCTTAATCATCAATCAATCATTTTTCTTACAAATCTGAAGTTGGTTTTGTTGTATTAAAGATTTAGAGTTTTAAAGTCATTTTCATATAAAGAGATTATATTTACTTAAAATAAATGGTCATTTTGTGATTCTAAATGTCTATAATGAGAAAAGTTTGATGGTAATCCAAAACTTAAAGTTTCCCTTTTATGACTCCAAAAGTTTCCTTGAGTTTATCCTTGAAAACCCGAATACATGACAGTTTTTGTGCATCATAGGCTTCAATAAACATACGCCGGAAATTTTGATTATACAGTCATACATACCACTACAATAACCAAAGCAAATTTATGATTTGCATACCTTCCTCTATGATTAGAGAATTCCCTGGTGAAGCTTGTCGAAGCTAGAGCTTTTGAGATCAAACTCAGTTTTCTGTTAGCAATACATTGATCACAATTTCATTAGAAACCATTAATCAACTTTCAGTAGAAGATTCATGTCAACCACTTTAATAAAAGACAGACTACTACTCTGTCATGTAACAATTAATAACAAGACTCATTGTCCTGACTCGTAGATGTCAACAACCTTAGTTGATAAAATCAAACTCTCGGGGTTTTACCCTTACTTGAGATTGATTCTCGTCTACAACATAGTCTTTAAAGCGTACAATACACCCAAAAAAAAGAAGAAAAGAAAATTCCGATGGGCATATCTAAATTCCCAACCATCACACATAAAAAAGGAAATGAAAAAAGAAGGTAAAGCTGGCCATCAAATGACATATGATCCGAAGTTTCTATTACATGAATATTGGGGATTAAATTATTCTGCAACACTGCTACAAATCAGGACCAAAACAAAAAAGTAAAAAAAAAAATGCAGTAACTTAAATGTATGTTAAACTAGTTAATAAGTTACAGGATTGAAAAGAGAGAAAAACTAACCTTAAATTTTTTTTTTTTTTTTTGAATAGAAAAACTAACCTTAAATTGAGCATGAACATTTTGGTCTTTATTTTTTCTGAAAATATTCAGCAGGAAATGCACAGGAGGAAAAGAATAATGTGTTTGGTAATTGCTGGAAATCTCATGGACTACTATGGAATTTATATACGAGCATATGTCAGAAAGTGTTATTTACACAGAGTTCCTGAACCTCTACAGATAATGACACTAAACAAAAAAAAGATGCTAGTTGTTGCAACTTGCCAATTTGACAAATAAGATAAAGAGTCAATGAGAAAATACTCGTACCAGTTTATTTTCTTGATAACGCACCCTATCCCATAATAAATAATACAGTCAAACTTTGTATAGACTAACACATGTCAAATGGTCAATGTACTAAATTGTCCTTTATTTTATACAATTATAAATATTCATACGAGTATCAATAGTGGAAAAAATATACTCTGTAACGTGTTAATTATTTAGTGATGGATGGAGTATTATTTATTGAGTAACAATCTTGTTAATACTAGTGCAAATGTGCACGCCATATCTGGTTAAGGAGAACTCTTTTGGTTTGATTTTATGTCACAATTTTAGTGGTTGGTAGCATTAATAAGGAGATTTTATGTCACAACTTTAGTGGTTGGCAACATAAACAAGGAAATATAGGTAAACAAATATTTTTTGGATATAAATTTTGTACACTATTGTTAAGAGTTAAAAAAAAAAGTGATCTAATCTAATATCATATCATATTATATCATATCACTAATAAATAAAGCCGGTCTCGCAGCCAGGCCATGAGACAGCGACACTTGGCATTCCAGGTTTTCGCCAATTATCGTGCCACGTAGGAGATAAATAGCTATTATTGTGACACATATAATACTAAGTAAGCGATTTTTAGATAGATTTTTTTAAGATAAAATAGTTGCATAGTGTTTTATTATCGATAAAATTCTGATATTTCATATTACAAAATTAATCATACCTTTTAATAAATATCGTATAACTCAATTCTATTTCCATCATAAAATTCGTTATAAAAAGTTCTTTAAAATAAGATCCATTTATAATATATTCAATCACAAACTTTATTTGTAGAGGTTACTCAATCAGTGTTATAGATAGGGGTTATTAAGTTAGTGTTAAAGGTTACTCAATTAGTATTACAAAAGTTAAATTACTCGATCAGTTTTATAAGGGGTTACTTTGTCCGGCCAGATAGTGTGGTTAGCCACATACAAAATGCATTGTTATTTAATTTAGGAAAAATTGTCAAAAATAACAAACTTTGAGCAGTCCGCCAAAAATAGGTCAACCTTTTCATTATTTCTGAATAATACAAAGTTTGGGGATATCTACTTTAAACAGTTTATGACCGGTTGGTAACTTGGTTAATAGGTCAAGTAGGACAGGTGTCAATGTTTTATTAGTTTGACAATTTAATTATTTTTTAATTTTTTTTTTTATAATAATTAAAAGATATTAAATAATATTAATCACTTTATTATTATTATTATTTTTTTCAAAGAAAAAAATCAGCCCCCCTCCCCCCACCAGCACTTTCTCTCTCCTCCAATCCTCACTTCCGCCATTGTTGAATTAAGTAAGGTTTCACCAAGCTTTTTCTTTATCAAATTCACAATCAAAAAGCTGTAATAATCACTCTAGAAATGGATAATTATACGCTTCACTTGGTGATAGCGGCGTTGGTTGGAACGTCGTTTGTGGCGGTTTCTGCGTACTACATACACCGGAAAACGCTTTCGCAGTTGCTGGAGTTTGCCAAAACTATGGAGAGAGATAAGGAGGGAGAAGAAGGAGAGAAGGAAGAGGAGGGTGAGGGGTTTCGTTGGGAGGGAGGGTGGTTTCGGGAATGGTGTTCGGGGAATGACACCGGCGAGGGAGGGTTTCGTTGAGAGGGAGGGAGGGTGGTTTCGGGAATGGTGATCGGGGAGGGCGGGGGCTGACTCCGAGCCTTCGGCGGGGGTGGGAATGGCTAGCTGGTGGGGAGGTCGGGTGGGGACTGGTTCTTAATTTTTGATTTTTATTTTTTGAGAAATTAAATATTTATTTAATTCGGAGGTGTTTATAGTTAAATTATTTGATAAGGAGTTATTTAAAATATTAACCATATTTAAAGTTTTAATTAGAAGTTAATTAAACTTTTAAATGATTTTATTACAAAAAAAAAAAAAAAAAAAAAAATTGTTAACCTGTTGTCTAGGTAATGAGTAAATTATCTTGTTTAAAACGGACATCCCTCAAAGTTTGTATTATTTAGAAATAATCAAAAGTTTGACTTGTTTTTGGCGGACCATTCGAAGTTTGTACCGGAGTATTAATTTTGACAATTTTTTCTTTAATTTATTTAAAAAAATATTAGAGAATTTGATAAAAATACTTTCACTTTAGTGAAAATAACTTAACGTCAATTAAAATAATTTCAAGTCAATAATAACATAAATATCTATTTACAAACAAAATTACATAAAAGTACACTCTATTTGGGGTAAAATTACCCTATGCCACGTGGACCAATTGCATGATGACACGTGTCAGCCTCAGAGAGGCCCAATGGGATCCAATCCTTTGCTGACACGAGGCACTGTAACCCTAATAGGGGAACTGATCTCCTTCTACTATAAATAGAGGAAAATCCTCATTTATTACATTATTCATAAATACAAACACAAAAAACCAAGCAATATTAATTGCAGAATTATCTCTGAATCAGAGAGAAAATCCATTTACTTTCCGCACATTTATACATCCGGAGACGTTCTAACTTGATCGTCGGAGGCGGAACTCTACCCAACCGGAGTTTCGTGGTTTTGCAGGAACAGACAGTCGGAGCGCATTCTCGGAATTGTAACTCTTCCGAGAGACTCCAAAAACCCCGAAACATTTGGCGCCGTCTGTGGGGAGAGTACTTCCGAAGATGGCATCCGATTCTGTACCGTCTGGTGAGGGCAAGTGGCCTACGGCCGAACCTGAGGTCCATACGGACCAGGATAGTGGTGACGACTTTGAGGTCGACACCTACGTGGCCCCAGATGGGTCATTCCGAACAAGGCGCACCCGTTCCAAAGAAACAAGGGAACGGGGCGAAGACAAAGCTGGTCCCAACAACCCAGCCAGCAAGCCTGCTGGGCAACCCCAGGCGGCGGAGAGTACAGCCCCCGTCACCAGAGATGAGCTCATGACGTTCATGACAAGTTTCAAAGGGGAAATCAAGGACTTATTAAAGAAGTCAACTGGCTCCAACAAGGGTCAGTCGGCCAAGAAGCCTTCTTCCTCCGGGAAGAAGCACATCAAAGACCGGGTGCCTACTCCTCACCCTAAACCAAACGGGGCGGCTGGGCCCCTAATCGACCTTTCTAGACTTTGTTTCCCTAAATCAGGGCAAAGGAAGGCCAACTGGCAAGTTCAGCTGGGTGGGTAAAAAAAGACTTACTCTGACGCCCGGATGTTCATCCAAAAGAAGAGAAGTCAACAAATGTCTGAGTCGGCCTCCACGTCGACTTACCTAGACAGTTTCCGCAATACTTCAATAAAGTATTCGGAGACAAACCGAGAGAGTCAGTCACGCGGCATGTCCGCACGTACTGGCCCTCAGATTATCCAGTCGGCTCTGTATGTGCCCCAACAGCCATACATGCCGTATGGATCCCCTTACATGCAGCCGACCCTCTTTAGGGGTCCGGCGGCGCAGCAGGTTCATCTTATGGACTGGCAGCTCCGGCTGCTAAACCCTGGGGAATAGTCGTCGGCGTTCTCCAGGGAGATAACCGATGCGGCTCAGCCAGCCAAGGTTAAGAACGTGTCGGTTGGTACCTATGATGGTACCACCAACCCAGAAGACCACCTAATGGCGTACACCAACCTCATGTACTTACAGGGGTTTTGGATGATGCCTCCTGGTGCCTATGCTTCCCAGCAACATTGAAGGGCATAGCCCAACGATGGTTTGGTAATCTGCCAGCCGGATGCATCAACAACTTCAAGACGCTTGCATACCTGTTTGCGTCCAACTTCTCCATGAACATCCCTGCCAAAAAGACAAGTCTCGACCTAGGGGCTATTCAGTAGGGAGACAAGGAGGCACTAAGGTCCTATGTCAGGCGGTTCAATCTGATGAGAATTCAGATTCAAGGGTTGTCTGACGAAGTTGTCTATACAGACTTCTTCAAGGGTCCGAAGGACAGGTCGACCTTTAAGTTCGACCTGGTCAGAAAGAGGGTTGCTACCCTCCAAGTGGCGTTGATGGAAGCCGAAGCCTATACACAAGCGACGGAGCTCCGGTCAGCTCAGCCGGCCAAAAAAGAAGAGAGCAAGAAAAGAAAAGAAGTCTGGGCGACGGACCGTTTTGGTCAGCTGTCCCAAAAGAAAAAGAGAGAGTTGAAGCCGTACGTCCCCAAGTACGAGTTCAACAAGGACTACTCCTCTATCCTCATGGAGATCAAAGACCGGTTGACCCTTTAGAAACCGGCAGCAATGAAGAGTCCCATCAACATCTGGGATAAGAGCAAGTACTGTCAGTTCCATGAGGATGTCGGCCATGACACCAATGGCTGCTATAGCCTCAGGCGGCTATTGGACCGTCTGGCAGATGAGGGGGCTCAAAAGTCCTATATGGTGAAGTCCAAGGGTAACCCCAAAACAAACAATGGACAACCGTCCAAGAAGCCGGCTGTGAGCTCTGACACTGATGAAGAGCACATCTTTACCATAGCAAGCGGCTTCGCGGGAGGGGGTCCTGCCATCTGGGGTACCAAGGACAACATTCGGAAGCTGGTCAACTCGGTTGATGAGGGCCAGGCGTCGAAAGACACCTTTCCTGAGGTCCTCATCTCTAAGAAGGATCGAGGCAAGGTCAGGCGGCCTCATGATGACCCAATTGTCATCGAATGTAAGGTTGCCAACCAACGAGTGGGCCGAATCCTCATCGATACCCGGAGCTCGTCTGACCTTATCAGCTTTCAGTGCTTGGCAAGGCTCAAGTACAAGCCTAGCAGCATGCACAACACCCCCTAGTTGGCTTTGGGGGAGGGGTAGTGCATCCGGTGGGGAGGATTGACCTACCCATCCGGCTAGGAGAGAAGGGGGAAGGACGGCACATGGTCATCAAGTTCTTGGTGGTCGAGCAATTGACTGCCTACAATCTGATTCTGGGCCGTCCAACCCTTAACGAGTCCAAG